ACAAGACCTCCCAATTTCATCGCCAAAAACTACAGACACAATGACTCAGACTTCCAGAAGGCTATCATCAAGGCATCATCTCAGCAGTCATCTCAACACGCAGCTCCCCAGTCATACCTCACGTTACATCAATGCACTCCAAAGGTTTAGACAGAAGACGACGACCTTTAGGGTCACCACCGCTTATAAAGGAGGTGGTGTTTGTTATATGAACACTGACGAATTAATCAGGAACAAAATGCTCAATCTACTTAATGACCCAGATACCTACAAACCTCTCACATCTAACCAAGTGGACAACCTTTACAAAAACTTTCTTCAAAGGACTCGCCGCATTCTGAGGGGCTCAGACAAGGGAAGAAACTTCTGCACACCAGCCAGCAACCCCAACCTGCCAGAATGTACGGCTGCCAAGACCTCACAGGGCCCTGGTTATCCCACTGAGGCCCATATCCCGGGAATAGGCAAGTGCTCCCCACCAGCTCCAGGAATTCTCGCCAACACCTTCTCTACACTCCTTGGGCACTATCGTCCAGCACATCTCAAACACTCGGGTGATCTCTCAATCGCATTCGCAACATCAACATCAGGAACAAAAACTTCCAGCCTTGACGTGACTTCCCTATCACCAAAGTATCGCTACTACATAAGCCATCGATCTCTTTAGCGCAGGAAAATTGACGATTCACTTGATCTTCCCATTCCAGCCACGATTATCATCGACCCTTTTGAACTATGTGTTTTGGCTTTACGTGTTTCTCCTTCGAAAATCACCTCTTTCCAGCAGACTTTTGGACTACCCATGGGTTTCGCCATCAGTGCAGTCCTGGCTAACTTATACATGAACATCTAGAAAAGCCGAACGATTTTCCACCATTATTCCTTCGTCTGTCACCTGGCTCCGTTATGTTGACGGACATTCTCCTCATAACTCCTAAACGCTTCAACGTTCAAGCTCTCAAAGACAAGCTTCAACCAGGTCGAGCCTTCAATCCTGGGGAGTTCCACACTTGAAGAAGAATTCACAGCACTCTCCTTTCCTTGATGTTCTGCTCTCAAAGCTGACCAACGAACTTCGTTTATAAGTCGATCTAAAACCCACCAACCAAAACGATCTTCTCCACTACTACTCCACACCACGACACCAAAACCAAACGTGATGTGATTATAAAGGCTTCTTCCTACGTGCACTCAGAATCTGCAGCAATGAGTTCCTTGAGGAAAATTACTAATAATTGAACAAGTATTTTCTAAACTCACCACTATCCTCGTCACTTCTCGAGACAGCAGACGGCGGGCATTAAACATCTTCAAAACACACCCAGAGAAGATACACTGACGAGAAGAGATACATAGTCTCCCCAACAACTCCAATTGCCAAACATGTTTCCAACATCTTGCCAAAACATCATTCCAAGTATCTACTCCACAACCACACCATCAAGGCCATCACCAGTATAGACAGGACAAGCTCCCATCCTCGTCAGGGGTATACATAATCCCCTTGTAATGAACTGCAACAAAATATATGTGGGACGAAACATCAAGAAAACTCCAAACACGCATTTCAGAACATATGCAAGCGGACTGACGATATCAAGGAATGAGCCTGTGTACAACATCGCAATTCACACAACCCTTTAACTAACACAGAAACTCAAGACTTATAGCCACAGAAGACAAACACTCAATACAGAAGAATTCCTGAATCATCCGCTTATCTCTATAACCACAATTTCAACCAGACAATGGCTTCTATAACATAGCGAACCACTCGACAAGAAACTTTCATTCATCGCTATTCCACATAAGAACATAGAACACTTCAGAAGGTCTACAACTTGTCCAATACCCCATGCCAAGCTACCCAAGACCTCTATAAACCCCCACCCGGTAGATCATCAGATGCAGCATTTCTCCACTCTGACCTCAACATTCTGATTATAAAACTCTTCGTACCTTCCAACCCGGTAGATTCCGTGTGTGACTTGAAAAAGCCCACTGTGTGGGTGAAACGTTGTACAATAAAGAAAAAATCACATTATACTGCATTTGTGTTTTATATTTCCATAATAATGATTTATTAATATTATATAATAGTAGTAATATAAGTAGTAGTAGTACGTACTATGTGGTGAGGGCTCTTGAATTCTAGGAATTTGATAAGTTTTACCTGGAGTTTACCTGGAAGAGTTTTTCGGGGGTCAACGCCCCCGCGGCCCGGTCTGTGACCAGGCCTCCTGGTGGATCAGAGCCTTATCAACCTGGCTGTTGCTGCTGGCTGCAAGCAAACCAATGGCGTACGAGCCACAGCCCGGCTGATCAGGAACTGACTTTAGGTGCTTGTCCGTCCAGCTTGAAGACTGCCCAGGGTCTGTGCTCCAGTTCCTATAATAATAATGATATCCAATATTATTATTATTATATTTATTATAATTACTAACATACTAATAATAAGAAATACATAATAATTATGTATAATATAATAATATAATATATATAATAAAATAGAATATAATAATATTATTTTTTTATTAACACACTGGCCGATTCCCACCAAGGCAGGGTGGCCTGAAAAAGAAAAACTTTCACCATCATTCACTCCATCACTGTCTTGCCAGAAGGGTGCTTTACACTACAGTTTTTTTAAAGCTGCCACATTAACACCACCAATTATAATAATCCAAGGTTGGTAGACAGCAACCGCCCAGGGAGGTACTACCGTCCTGCCAGGTGATTGTAAAACTGAAGCCTGTAATTGTTTTACACGATGGTAGGATTGCTGGTGTCTTTTTTTTTGTCTCATACACATGCAAGATTTCAGGTACGTCTTGCTACTTCTACTTACACTTGGGTCACACAACACATACATACAAGCATATATATACACACCCCTTGGGTTTTCTTACTATTTTCTTTCCAGTTCTTGTTTCTTGTTTATTTTCCTCTTACCTCCATGGGAAAGTGGAACAGAATTCTTCCTCCGTAAGCCATGCTGTTTAAGAGGTGACTAAAAGCGGTAGCAAGGGCTAGTCACCTTCTCCCTGTATATATTACTAAATGTAAAAGGAGAAACTTTTGTTTTTCCTTTTGGGCCACCCCGCCTCGGTGGGATATGGCTGGTGTGTTGAAAGAAAGAATTATAATAATAGTACATATACGTATGTACGTACTGCATATAATTTAGTTTGACACCACCACCACTAGACAGCAGTGTCAATCAGAACAATGGTCACCAGTGCATATGTGCTTACGGAGTTACCCTCGCGGTGCAAGGAATTCTTGTGATTTCCTTACGTTTTGCGCAGTTAATTCACCAGATTTTCTTTCTCTGACCATGGGTCTTAAGAAATACTAGTGCAATAGAGAGTGCTGAGAAGAAAAAAGATGATTTGCTGTGGCATGCAAAGAGTACGTAACCTTTATTCGCCGCATGGACACACCCTCATTTACAGGCTATCTCCCCCAACCAGCGAACCAGGTTGCTAAGAGTTGTTGATGGGGCCCCATCGTTCAACTAGTGACCGGTTTCTAGCCAATAAGAAGGTGGATTGGCAATCGCAGAGGTTATGTGGATACCGCTCTCCTGTCTGCCCTTGTCATTCTCCAAATTCAAGAGCTGGTTGAGCACGGTCTGCTATCTTGTGGCTTCTATTTCTGCCCTTGCTTACCGTGACGTGCACTATACTTATTACTGTACATAGTGTACCATATTGCTGTTCTAAATGGTGAAGGAATAATATAAGTCTAAACATTTCTGCTGTGTTTTCTTTTGCTTCCCATTACACTGGGATAGACAGGCCTTTGAAAGCCTAGGTTTAATATGGGTAACCCTGTCTGGGAGCTGAGCTGGACTTAAAGAAACGGTTGAGCTTAGGGTGAAGCTTGTAGCAGAACATTGTGTAGCTTGCTGACTCGCTCGCTTTACAAATTTTGCGAGTCAGTTGCTTATGAACACCTTGCTATTGTGTGATCGTTCAACAGCTCGCTACTAGCTTGTTTCAGTGTGCTCGCTTCGCTACGGTCCAATCTTGTGTGCAGTCGCTTTGCTGATTCGTTATTCTGGATCGTACTGTGCATAGCTAAGCGTGTTCTGCAAATTAACGTGTTGCGTTGGGGGTATTCTCGTACTGTGCAATAGCGAATACTTATGCCACCTAGACGAGTCAGACGCCTGGTGTCCGGCATATACTTTGCATAACCTTCCTATTGTCCCCTACAGCGTTGTTGGCAAATTGCTACTTTCCATTGGCATTCCCTATAAACCGCAACTACTACAGCTGCGCAACTGCGTTCACTTATTGCTGACAAACATTATTGAAGAAGAGATGGCACATCAAACTCCTCCTCTACGGGAGCTAGGGAAAAAACTCCTATTTCCTCGCATGAGGAAGATGAATACACCTACGGAGCAGATTGCAGTATAGTGCAGCTGGTTGTCTCGAGGTGAATCACGCCTTGGCACTTGAAGCAGGCAAAAATCGACGCTGGGAGCAAACTAGGGAACAGAGAGCATTCGAAGGGAAGAATTCGATAGGGAAAGAGAAAGGGAGGCAGTTCTCGCATTCTGTAAACGATTTTCAGTTACAAAAAGCAGTACAGCTTGCCCGCTTCAATGAGGCCGAACCAGAGCAATTTCGAAAGCTTCGAAAATCAGCTCGAGCCTTGAGGTGGGCCGGAACAGCACTGGCAGCGTTGTTCATACAGCTTATTGGGAAGGCCACAGGAATTTACGTCGGTAATTAACTGACGCTGAATTCTCTGATTATCAAAGTGAAGACCACAGTGTTGGGAGCATATACATTATCCCAGCTAAAATATCGAAAGACCCTTCAAATTGAACAGGCGGCAGCTTGTCAATCCCTGGTGGACTTTGTGAGACAGAAAAACCAAAGCTTTACCAGCTTGGTAAAAGCGAGTGTGTCTCTAACTTAGAGGACTGGTGCAGCTTTTATTCCTGATTGATAACCTGCTGGAGTCTGTTGGACCCGAGGTCATTGACGCTCTTCAGAAACATCTTCCTTACTGTTGAGTTATAGACATACAGGTTGATCACAGGATCACCAAGGAAGTCGAGGGTGACATTGGTGAGTGAGGCCTTCATCCTAGTGCAAACAGTGTTTGGTTGATATTCTACTTTAGCTTCAGCTATGTGGGTAAGACTCACGTCATAAACACTTTGAAATGTTGAGAATGAGGTGATTGACGTGTTTCAGCATGATCTGGGTTATCTCTTCTCCCGCAGGACCACCAGTCAGTGACACCTGTTGGAAAGACATCTTTAAGATTTGAACTTCGTCTTGACAAAAATGCTCTACCATTCACACCTTCATTCTCAGCACTCTACATTGAAATGATGCTCTCGACATACGTCTTCTGTCTGCATGGATTGTCACTATGAAACAGTTATCTTTAGATTGTTCACACACATTACTTTCTTGTGGGGGGAGGGGGAAAACTGATTGTATTATGTTTGCCTAGTGGTGTACCACTACTGGTGTGTACTGTGTGGCTTGTGGTGTACCACTACTGGTTTGTACTGTGTGTGCCTTGTGGTGTACCACAACTGGTGTGTATTGTGTGTGGCTTGTGGTGTACCACTACTGGTGTGTACTGTGTGTGTGGCTTGTGGTGTACCACTACTGGTGTGTACTGTGTGTGTAGCTTGTGGTGCACCACTACTGGTGTGTACTGTGTGTGTAGCTTGTGGTGCACCACTACTGGTGTGTACTGTGTGTGTGGCTTGTGGTGCACCACTACTCGTGTGTATTGTGTGTGTGGCTTGTGGTGTACCACTACTGGTGTGTACTGTATGTGTGGCTTGTGGTGTACCACTACTGGTGTGTACTGTGTGTGTGGCTTGTGGTGTACCACTACTGGTGTGTACTGTGTGTGTGGCTTGTGGTGTACCACTACTGGTGTGTACTGTGTGTGGCTTGTGGTGTACCACTACTGGTGTGTACTGTGTGTGTGGCTTGTGGTGCACCACTACTGGTGTGTACTGTGTGTGTGGCTTGTGGTGCACCACTACAGGTGTGTACTGTGTGTGTGGACTGTGGTGTACCACTAAGAACATAAGAAAGAAGGAACACTGCAACAGGCCTACTGACCCATGCGGAGCAGGTCCATGTCCTCCCATCCGGATTAGCCCAATGACCCACCCAGTCTGGTCACCTCCTCTCAAGGAAGGAGCACGGTACCAGACCCAGCAGCACAAGCTAGTCAGGTCCAACTCACACCCACCCACAACCACTCATGTATTTATCCAACCTATTTTTAATTCTACACAACGTTTTAGCGTGAATAACTGTACTCGGGAGTTTGTTCCACTCATCCACAACTATATTACCAAACCAGTGCTTTCCTATTTCCTTCCTGAATCTGAATTTTTCCAACTTGAAACCATTGCTGCGAGTCATGTCATGGCTGGAAATTTTCAGCACGCTATTCACATCTCCTTTATTTATTCCTGTTTTCCATTTATACACCTCGATCATGTCATCCCTAATTCTACGCCTTTTGAGAGAGTGCAGATTCAGGGCCCTCAGTCTATCCTCATAGGGAAGATTTCTGATACATGGGATCATCTTTGTCATCCTCCTCTGTATGTTTTCCAGAGCATTTATGTCCATTCTGTAATACGGTGACCAGAACTGAGCAGGATAGTCTAAATGAGGCCTAACCAAGGATATATAGAGCTGAAGAACAACCTGAGGACTTCTATTATTTATACTTCTAGATACGAAGCCAAGAATTCTGTTAGCTTTATTGCGAACACTAATGCACTGTTGTCTTGGTTTTAGATTACTGCTAACCAGAACTCCAAAATCCTTTTTTGAATCAGTAGTATTAAGATCTACATTAATTAGTTTATATGTGGCATGGCTATTTACCTGTCCAACATTTAAAACTTTGCATTTGTCTATATTAAACTGTATCTGCCACTTCTCCGACCATTGCATCAGTCTATTCAAATCATCCTGGAGTGCTCTAGTGTCCTCATTAGAATGAATTGGACGGCCTATTTTGGTGTCATCAGTAAATTTGCTATGTCTCTATTTATTCCCTCATCTATGTCGTTTATGTAAATTGTGAACACCGCTTGTGACGTGCCCTCATTCTGATTTCTCCCCATTTATGCAAACTCTCTGCTGCCTATCTGTCAGCCATGCCTCTGCCCAGGAAAAAATTTCTCCTCCTATTCCGTGCCTTAAGTTTCCACAATAGCCTCTGGTGTGGAACTCTATCGAAAGCCTTACTGAAGTCCACATACACAATATCATATTCATTACCATGATCTACCTCCTCAGCCACCTTAGTGAAAAAAGTTAGTAAATTCGTAAGACAGGAACGCCCCTTTGTAAAACCGTGTTGAGATTCATTAGTCAATCTGTGCCTATCAAGATGGCTACAAATTGCTTCAGCAATTATTGATTCCATAAATTTTCCCACTATGGAGGTAAGGCTTATTGGTCTATAGTTCGAAGCTAAGGACCTGTCACCTGCCTTGTAAATAGGTATTACATTTGCCATTTTCCACTTATCAGGCACTTGCCAGTTTGTAGTGATATGTTAAAAAGATTAGCCAAAGGTATGCTAAGTTCCTCTTTACATTCCCTTAACACCCTTGCAAACAGTTCATCAGGGCCTGGGGATTTGTTAGCTTTTAATTTCTCTGTCTGAGGACCATGTCACTAGTTACCGCAATCGTGCATAGTTTATTATCGTCCTGTTCTACATAATCTATTATTTCAGGAATATCACTAGTATTTTCCTGCGTGAAAACTGAGAGGAAGTAGGTATTGAGAATTTCACACATATCCTTATCACTGTCAGTGATCTGACCAGAGTTACTCTTAAGTGGGCCAATCTTGTCCCTAATCTTACTTCTGTATACCTGAAAGAACCCTTTTGGGTTAGTCTTTGAATCCCTTGCGACCTTAGCCTCATAATCCATTTTTGCTTTTCTTATTCCTTTCTTTATTTCTCTCTTTAACTGAATATATTGATTTCTTAACTGCCCCTCCACTCTTTTGATACGCCTATATATGCCTCTCTTTTGACCAATGAGATGTTTTAATCTATTGTTCATCCATTTCGGATCATTATTGTTAGATCTAATTTCCCTACTCGGAACAAAAGTTGTCTGGGTAGCTAGAACTATGCTCTGAAAAACGTCATATTGGCAACCAAGATCACCTATCTGACCCATAGTCAGGACATCCCAATTTAGCCCACCAAGGTAATATTAAAGTCCCATGAAGTCAGGCAAGCGAAAATCTGGGACAGAGATTTTATTGCAGTTATCTGGGTAATTCCATGATATATTGAAACTAAGTGATTTGTGATCACTTTCCCCAAGCTCATCATTAACCTCAAGATAATTAATTAGTGAATCTTTGTTGGCAAGAACCAAGTCAAACGGATTGTTTCCTCTAGTTGGTTCTGTCACAACCTGTTCTAAAAAGCAATCCTGAACCGTATCAAGAAAGTCACTAGACTCAAGATTTCCTGTCATAATGTTCCAATCAGTTTGTCTAAAGTTAAAATCTCCCATTATCACAACATTTTCATATCTAGATGCCTTATGAATTTCGTCCCATAACAGCTTACTGCACTCCCTATCAAAGTTTGGGGGCCTATAAATCACACCCAAAATTAATTTGTTACGCCCCTCGAGAAACTGTAGCCAAACAGATTCTGTGCTCGATGTTTCTAATCTTATATCATGTCTAAGACAACATTTTAAATTTTCTCTGACCTACATCGCCACTCCACCACCCTTCCTGTTAACCCTATCAGTGTGGAATAGTTTATAACCCTGTATGTTGCATTCAGAAGGCATTTCTCTACCAGGTTGAACCAGGTCTCTGTTAAACCAATAATATCTATATTACCTATACTTGTAAGTAATCTTAGCTCATCTATCTTATTTCTTAGACTCCTACTATTTGTATAGTAAACCTTAAGGGAGCTAGTCACTCGTTGCCCTCTACTATCTCTCTTTGTCTGTTGATCAATTGATTTGCCATTACTAGCAACTTTATTTTGAATATTGTCTTTTAAACATATCCCAGAGGTATTCCGGTAATAACTGCTGTTTTTAACCCTAATACTGCAGCCTGACTGTTTCCTCCTAACACCCATACCTCTATAATCTATCAGTTTAAATTCCTAGACGAGTCATCAATTACCCTCTCAATCGAATTGGCTAATGCAACCACTCCATCCCTTGCATACATATCACGTTTGCCAAAGAATAGGTCCCAGTTATCAATGAATGAGGTTGCAAGTTCCTTGCAGTACCTGTCTAGCCAGCAATTTATACCAATTGCCCTAGACATCCATTCATTGCCCACTACTAGCATGTACTGTGTGTGTGGCTTGTGGTATACCACTACTGGTGTGTACTGTGTGTGTGGCATGTGGTGTGTACCTACTACTTGGTGTGACTACTGGTGTGTGTGTGCTCTGTATACCACTACCGGTGTGTACTGTGTGTGGGGCTTGTGGTGCACCACTACTGGTGTGTACTGTGTGTGTGGCTTGTGGTGCACCACTACTGGTATGTACTGTGTGTGTGTGTGGCTTGTGGTGTACCACTACTGGTGTGTACTGTGTGTGGGGCCCGTGGTGCACCACTACCAGTGTGTACTGTGTGTGTGGCTTGTGGTGCACCACTACTGGTGTGTACTGCATGTGTGGCTTGTGGTGCACCACTACTGGTGTGTACTGTGTGTGGCTTGTGGTGCACCACTACTGGTGTGTACTGTGTGTGGCTTGTGGTGCACCACTACTAGTGTGTACTGTGTGTGTGGCTTGTGGTGCACCACTACTGGTGTGTACTGTGTGTGTGGCTTGTGGTGCACCACTAATGGTGTGTACTGTGTGTGTGGCTTGTGATGGACCACTACTGGTGTGTACTGTGTGTGTGGCTTGTGGTGGACCACTACTGGTGTGTACTGTGTGTGTGGCTTGTGGTGTACCACTACTGGTGTGTACTGTGTGTGGCTTGTGGTGTACCACTACTGGTGTGTACTGTGTGTGTGAGGCTTGTGGTGCACCACTACTGGTGTGTACTGTGTGTGTGGCTTGTGGTGTACCACTACTGGTGTGTACTGTGTGTATGTGGCTTGTGGTGTACCACTACTGGTGTGTACTGTGTGTGTGAGGCTTGTGGTGCACCACTACTGGTGTGTACTGTGTGTGTGTGGCTTGTGGTGTACCACTACTGGTGTGTACTGTGTGTGTGTGGCTTGTGGTG